ATTATTTTCATAAATTGTTTGGTTACTAAATTTAGGTTGCATTTGATTCCAAAAGCTAAACTTTATTCTATAATCAACTCTTATAGTTAAAAAAAAATTTAATAGATGAAATTTTTAAGGTATGGAAATAAACATTACGTATTTGGTGAAATACCGAGACAATAAAATAAAAATAGCAATGAGTTTTAAAAAAAAGAAATAATAAAATGATGCACGATTAACCAATTAATTTCATTGATCACAAAATTATCTAATATTTATTAAGAGAAAATAAAACTAAAATGAATGAAATAAATAAAATTTGGAAAAAGATATATTGCTTTCAACTAGAGAGAAACAATGAGTTAAGAGAAATATTGTTTTCTAAGAATGACTAGATCGATAAAATTTGTCATACGAAAGGACAGTAAATCTATCATTTAAAATCTATTATTCATGAAAATGTCACGGCCACGGAAAAAGTACGTATCATTTCCTGACATAAAAATAAGACTAAAAAAAAATTATTTCGACAAATTTCATTTTAAATAAACGGAAAATTCAACACAGGTGCGAAAAAATAAGTGTACTAAGGGGCAATCACAGTGGTTAAAAAAAAAAGTTGCCCTTAAATTTACAAACTAAATAAACTACTTTATACTAAGATGATATCATGCAAAGAATTTTTAATTATTATATATATATGCTACCGAAAATAGGGTCTCAATTGTCTAACCAATGAAGCAGTCGAAAGTTAAAGCCTCTTAATGCTTGATTAACTTTTTGCATATTATTAGTTTTAGTTATTAAAAATAGTTAGTAAATAGTTAATACAATAGTTATAAGTTTTTATCACTTAATATTACAATGATCGAAAATTTGTTTACTTGTCAAGTATACAAGTTTTAAAGTTATTTTAAACTATGCAATTAGATTTTGAACGACAAAATCTGAAATTGGAACTTAAGTGGCCGAAACACTCTCGACAAATGATAGTTTAAAAATTAGATTTTAACGCTCAGAAGCTATTTAACTGATCAGGCTAAAATTTCAAATGTTGCCATTTAAAACTCATTAGTTGAGAATAACATGAAAATTTTGATACCCTATAATTTAAAACTTTTTTCAATAATAACTATGTAAGGATCTAATCTGTCGGGGATTTAATCTGTAATACACTAAACAAAATAATAATAATTTTATATATATATATATATATATATATATATATATATTGTACA